CCCGGCGGGGCGGAGTGTCCCCGGGGCCGGCCCCGCTGCCGGCCCCCACCTCAGCCCCCTCCACTCTTCCCACCCCTCTCCTGCCTCCAGCCCCTGCTCGACCAGCGCAAGATTAGCAAGTCAGGGCGAGAAGTTTCTTTGGAGGTAGGGTCGCTGCAAGGAGGAGGGTTGGGAGAGATGCTTTCCTGTTGCTTGGTAGCCAAGGTGTTGGTGCTCCTGCAGTGCCAGAGGGTCTTGTGTGTGGAGAGGCCAGCCCCTCTTCTGGGATATCCTTGTACTGAAGGAGTCACATCACTCCGTCATACCCCTCTAATGAGCAGTCTTTGATATGAATGTAATTGATATGATGGCTGGATCATCACCGTTGCTCTGTCCCCATTGCCACCCCAGCAAACACACAGAATAAAATAGGCGGGAACTAGGTGCTTTTCCCCATTTCTGTGTGGATGAGACTTTCCACCTCACTTGTAAGGATCTTGCACCTTCAGCTTTGGGGCTTCCCTGCTGTCCCCAGTAGCATGGGGGCACTCCTGCCAAGGAGGCTCCTGTGAGACTGTGGGGTGTGAGGGTGTGAGGTTGTGCTCTGTTCCCTGGCAAATAGCCCGTGTCTTAAACTCATCAAGCCCTAAACCTCATGGAAGTAAAGAACTGGTTTAAAACTCAAGAGAGCTTTGGGAGCAGCAACTCGCAAAGCTACAGCTCAGCACCACTTTCTCATTAACTCCTCAGACACAGAGCACCGCTCTGCAGCCGCTCCACAGACAGCTGAACACTTGCTGATTTCCCTTACTGGCTGTGCTGTTACAGTATAATATTTTTTCATTTCATGGTTAAACCTTTCACAGAGCTCAGGAAACATATTCCAGCTTTGTCATCCACGTTCTGTTTTGTTATTTTCTTCCCTTTAACTAACCCTCTTGTCCTTTTCTACTGTTCTCTCAGTTCTGCAACTTACCTCCTTTTCCTTTTTTATACTGGGACATTTACACCAGGAAACAGTGCTTGATATTTTGTGACCATGTTCCATCCTACTCTGAAATCCTTCATTTTTACCAATTTTCTTGTCTTGTTCACCCTTTAGGAGTGTCCTTGTCCTTACTCTGGGCTTTGAGAGGAGGCTGATGATGTGTTGGGAAAATCGTAAGCACTGAATTTATAACCAGAGTGAATTTATGTCAATAAGATTTTATTAATCTGTGTCTGATTTTACATGTGGCAAAGACGTGTGCTTTCACATTGGATCTGTCGGCAGTATCACTGTGTGTTTAGCAAACTTCATAGGGATTAGTTTACTTGTAGTATGCTGCTTAACTTGTATCCCAGTTTTTATATAGGAAATTATTCGTTCTCTCTTTCCCCATTTTTTAGATTAAACAGGAAATAACTATCCTTTCTGTATAATAAGTAATGTAGAATATCAAGTAATATTTTTATAATAAAAATGGAACTGAAACTGTAAATCCAAGCAGAAGTCATTGTCATAAAAATGAACATTGAAGAAATGTTGAAGAAATTCTTAAAGGGGCTTGGAGGTCGAGAGCTGAATTTTTTGAGGAGAAAACAGTGAATTAGAATTGCAAAATAGGTTTTCTAATGCACAATGAAACATATTCTTATTACTGTCTTCTCTGTTCTGGTCTGGATGGCTCTCCATTTCCCATCATCTTCTTTTAGTATTTCGTTTAGTGAAATAGAAAGATTAAGCCCTCAAATCCCCACACCATAGTTAAACACCAAGGAAGGTCTGAGAGAAAAGTCTTCCATGTATTTTCCCTTCTGGCACAGCAAATGGGACACTTCATATGTTAATATTCCCAGCTACACCTTTTTCCAAGCTGACTTACTAGAGAGGAAGTTGCCCATTTTGCAGCATGGAGACGTTTAATTAAATATATTTTAATGTCCTCAAAGGTTTGAACTTTATTTGTACTTGCTTTTGTAACCAGTCACAGCTTTACTATTTCTTTCAGAGCGCATTTATTGTTGGAAGATTGCGATATTTGGGGAGTAGAGCTCTGAAGGAATGCTTTAGTGGTTTCTAAAAATACACTTTTCATAACAGGACTTATTTTCATAACTAAGTCTCATGAAGAAAAAGGATGGCCTAAACTGCTACCATGCACCTTCTTTAAAAAACATTATTTTTTAAACTGTCATTTTGGTTTAGAAAAAGAAAAAAAAAAAAAAAAGCTTTATGGACTGAAAGTGCTAGTCAAACGCACTGTCAGCTAGACTGATGTGAACCAGTGCTGACATTTTTTGTTAAAAAAACCTCCAACTTTGTTTAATGATTTTTGAATGTAAAAGAAAAAAAGACACTATAGGGTGATCAGCGAAATGCTGAATACAGTAAACATCTTTCATGACAAAGAATACAAATACCCTGCAGATCTGCTTTCAATAGCAATTACTAGGCCCCCTGCTTTCAATAGTTAATACCGAGGCCCCTCTCTCTTCAAGCCTTAGTGGTAACAATCACAAGCCAATGCTTAAAATGTTGACATGCTAAGCACATTTAGAAAAACCTATGTCTGCATTCCCTATGGATGGTGTAGCATAACTGTCTAACACCTAAAGTGCAACAATGAAAAACAAAGTGAACTGGGCTAATCACCTCATCTCCTGAAAAGTTGTATGTAGAGGTAGAGAGTTCTCTCCTAGATATTCCTCTTCCCCTTGCATGATGTCAGTAGACCTGTACTTGGTCCATTTATGTATTCACACTCTAACAGGCTACATGTCTTCACTGGAAAATATTTAGGAAGAATATTGGGGAAAAAAAAAAATCTGTTGAGTGAAGCATTTGTATTATGCTCATTCATCCCATCTGCTGGGATCAGGCATCATCATCATGGATTGTAAAAAAGTATATCAGCAAAATTCTGGAATGAAACTTCTAGAGAAACAGTGAAAATGAATATGATAAATTAGTGCTGGGGGAGAGATACAAAGAGGAGACACAAAGGAGAAATAAAATGAATATGCTGAAGATTCTGAACCCGTATCTAGTGATGAGAGGCAGGCAAGGATTAGTAGATTTCTGGAACAAAACTTTGAAACTTGGTAGTCTGGAAATACCGTGCTTTCTGATGAAAGCTGACATCCTTTCCCTTCTCTTCTTCCCTTTAGCCTGCCTGGGAACTGGTGTACTGGCGGTTTCATGTGCCGGGTTTGGAACATGGCAGAGATGTTACAGAGCATTCGCTGTGCCGGTTTTGGCCAACATACAAGGTCAGTTAATCCTGACATGAAAAAGGACAGCATCCATTTCATCCTACCACTGCGCCAGACCTGCGCCCTTCAGTCTGCAGTTTGAAGACCTTTCCCCTGGCTCTTTTTCCATAGGACTCCATGACAAATGATTCTGCAGCATAAATTAATCTCTCTCTCTAGTACAATCTGTGTGTGATGGGGTCTAATGAAATTTTTTGAGGAGTCTTCAACTGAAAAGCTTTGCAGCAGGTTTTTAAACTTTGCCCAACATTTAGGTACCTGATGGTGATGTTCCCAGAGAGCTGGGGGCTGTTTGTTGCCCACTGTCCTGGCACTGGAGACTGTTCCTGGAGCACTGCAGTTTGCTCCTGTTATTCAGAATTGAGGATTTGCAGCACCCCAAGGAGAATTCATGTCCCAAAGCGAGAGTGAACTTTCTTCTGCCTTGCTTCTGGGGAGAAGAGTGCCTGGTGGATTTTGGGCTAGTATAGCAAGCTGGAGGTTGTGGGCACCCGAAATCTGACACGTTTGGCTCCCTAGATTGCTCTTACAGCCCCGCTGCAAACGAGCAAGCGCGTGTGTATGTGACTCCTTAGGAAGTTAGCATTGTTGTGTTTGCATATAATTTTTTTTTTTTTGTTTTCCCGAGAGATAACGGCAAAATAATTAATGTTTTCCTGTCTCTCAGTCTCGGAGCCAATTTTCCTTGGGTTAGGGTTAGGGTTAGGGTTAGGGTTAGGGTTAGGGTTAGCCAATAGGATTTTCAGCCATTTGCACCCCTTGAAGCGCCTTCAAGTTTTCTCGAGAATAAAAAGGGCTCTTGCAAAATGTAACAGCGCCTCGATTAAACGGGAAGGAACCGCAGTGACGGCAGGAACAGCCCCGTGGCGGTGGGGCGCCTGGACGGGCACGGCGCTTCCCAGTGCGGCCCGAGCGCTGGACACGCACTCATAGCGCGGCCGGGAGCCCTTCGCCACCGTCAGCATTGGTGGTTCAGTGGTAGAATTCTCGCCTGCCACGCGGGAGGCCCGGGTTCGATTCCCGGCCAATGCAACG